AATACCGGGTGACATGTGTGGTACGTAGAATGGATTCCAGGGATGTACAAGGTAACCCTGTTGTATACGCGTCGCCCCCTCAACGGGTCTTGTGTGTGTGTATGTGGATGCAACTAATCACAACAAGTTTTTCTCCTCGGCGCAAGCCCGCCGAGTTGCCGATACCCTATTCAACACACGTCTTGCGACAAGCTACCCCCAGTTCGGATTATCCTAACAGGTTGTCCGAAAAACGACTTCATTGTGCGATCTCTACGACGTGTGCGGTACTGTACTGCTCAATATCATGCCACAGACGATGTATCGCACACACTCACAGACAACTCCGATACAACGAGCAGAGGCGAAAATGACAAAAACCCGAGCTGGCGGCGAAATACGTATGACAAATCCCGCCGCCTGGGGCTACGGTACGTATGTGGTTTTTGGTTTAATCTGCACTGTGCTGGTTCCTGTATAATTGTCTGCAAAGACGGCGGAGTGAAGGATGTTTTTGAGCCTGATGGTCACAGGGGGGGGTATCCAGCGCCGTCTCTACGCTCCTGGGGAATCGTAGAACCGCAGGCACAAGATTACTGGCCGCTGACGCTGTGAAGTCCATTGTTTTTTTCCCTACTCCTATGCATATCATTTGAGCATATTTCAGAATAAAGATGAGTTGTCGTTGTGCTTCGTAAGAAACGTGGACAATACAATTACACACAAAAATTCAAGAAAAATGAGGAACAATAGATAAATCTTTTCTACCCACCACCCGTGTCTCCGACAAAAGTGGATTCGAAACTTGTTTCGCGGAGACCGTTCGTTAGAGGGCCGAACACGTTATTATTTCATTGTATTGCCAGGACAACATGGTCAAAGGGCCTAGTCTAGGCGTTGCGTAAACATGAGCAGCTTCGATTTTTCGGCTGCGTCTCCAGCCCATACCCCGCGGCTACGCATGCCAGGCCCCAACAGTTGTTCCCGATTATCCGGCATTTCCGGTGGGCAACCCACCGAGATCCACAGCCTCTTTCTTATCACCAGCTCCTCATTTACCCCAAACATGCCGCGAGTGTACCCACACGTGTCCTTTCATTCGAAATTGACCTCCACGTCACCAAACGGGAAACATTTCCATGTAAAAGTAGCAGGCTGTTGCTCCTCTGCTGTATTCTGAATGCGGTAGGTCCACATGCAGCAGGTCGAAATGAACTTGTTGTGCTTATTGTAACTCAAACAGTGCGTAGGAAAGTAGGAACTGTGGCTGCGACGCCATGACTCCTTCGCACCGCGTATCTCTCCGTATTCGGGCGAGGATATTGTTGACTCTCCAAATCGAAAAAACTGTGGAAGACCTCACACAAATTCGACACCTTGACGCGCTTTTTAATATTTGTAGGAAGCCTTGTTCCAGCCCCCCTCCCCCACCTTGCCCGTTACAGTATGTTACCCCATTTTTGGCGTTGTATGGGAATTGGTCTGTGCCCCCGGCCGTCGCAACAAAACAATGCTCCACCCCTCTAAGCAAGGAATTCTCGCATCCCCCCTCCCGCCCTCGGGATACTAGCGCCCTCATTCAAGTTTCGGGCAGAAATATCTGGAACCCCGCTCCATCGTGCCCTCCCTATTGCAGATCTTGGCGGGGAAGCTACGATAGATATATTCTACCGGTATGAAACAACTTATGAACGAACTCAGGCAGGCGTGCATTGGGTAAAGTTTTCAATGCATCCAATAAGCCCTACATTGATGCCACATCACTCATGCAGCACCCGAAGATGTTGCGTCAGTCACCTCGCAATAACCTCTTGTTATGCCCGAGGTTTGTTTTTGTATCCCTTTGCGGGGTATCAAAGAAGCTCCTATATAGGTTTTAGTCTTATGGGAAAGTCATCCATACAAAGTGCTGTGTTTCGATCTTGGTTGGAACCTGAAGAAGTTGTCAAATTGCTGTCCTTGCCGTACGCCTCACGAGACGTTGTATCTTCCGATGACGCAACGGTGTGAATAGTTGGACCCCCTCAAGGATCCAGTTCGGACCTCTTCAGGGATCCAGTTCGGACCTCCTCCGGGATCCAGTTCTGACCTCCTCAGGGATCTAGTTCGTTCTTCATTAGAAAAAGCTCCGTGTGCCTTCGCTTGTTTCCTTTCGTTCCCTTTTCGACACCCTCAGCTTCCTCACATATACAGAAATTGACACTCCTACCAGGTATTCCCCAAGACGTCGTGGTTCTACATTGTGCATGCGACCCCAAGAGGCTTCGGCGTTGATACGGCTTGGAGGAAGTCGATACCTGGCGTGCAGGATCAGTCAACAAGTTCCAGGAACTATAGTCTACTCCCTCTGTCCGAGAATATAAGCAAGGTTTGGAAATCCGGGAATATAAGCAAGGTTTGAAGAATATTGACGGAAACGTGCCATTTGGGCACGGTGGACGTCGGACAACTTTGGCAAACGATCACATATGACATTGGAGAGAGAAAAAAAAAAATCCGCTCGATGGGGGGGGGATGGTGCGTTACCATCCCCTGGTCCGGGAAAAGGCGGAATTTTGGCATACCCAGCCGAACCCCGTCTTCGCTGTCGGCGAGAAGGTAGCGTACCACCTCTTCTCTCTCCGAAACGTTGAAATTCTTGCGTTTGAGCCCCTGGGAGGCACTCCCAGCAGCAGACATGTCCCGCCAGCAGACGGGAAGGCGTTTGACCGGGGCTCCAAAGTTGGGGTGGTGAAATCGGGCGTGTTGTGCTGGGGTGCAACACACTTTGTTGAGGTGGTGTGAAAAGAGCAGCGGTTCTGCGCGCTGCGCGCCAGTGCGGCGGAACCAGAAAAAAAAACCGTTCGGAAAAAGAGTTCGGCAGACACGAGTTCTATTGCTTTTTGTCCAAACCTTGCTTATATTCTCGGACAGAGGGAGTATATGACGGTGTAGCCAGATCACTCTTGCGACTGTCTTTCAGCTGGTAACGTCGCTTTGCACAGACAGCCACACTTCCATCACGTCGGTTTGTCTCACAGGAGCAGCTGCAGTGCGCATTCTTGTTATTGCTACTGGCTGCTGTTGCTGAAGTTGTACTCCAGTACGTTGTCACCGCCGTGCTTATCCAATCTCCCGATGAAATTTTCCTGCAATTTTTGGCGTACCTTGCCACTATACGAGTCAATCCCGCGCCACAATCCCCAGATTTCCTTCGGTCAATCATACACTTTGTTATGCTCATGAATTGGAGTAATAATTATTTGAGTGGTGGACCCCCACGACTTCATCACGCCACTTGGGCATACCCCACGCCAAATATTGCCCGGATTCCTCATAGATATACCACACACAGACGTAGCCCTGGGCAGGCTGTCACACCTCATCTTCCTACCCCACTTTAAAGCTCTTTCAGTAAAAAAAAATTGATTTTCTGTGTTTCTAGAAAATATGCTTTTCCACCCCCCTCGCCCTCCTTCCCTCTCCGAGACGGAGAGCAATACTAAGACACAGAGCCCACCCGGTACCGACACGAGGATACGCGAAAGCTACGGTTAGGACAACCAACACAGGAGATTGACTGCCCGCCACATGCCCGCAGATATCACAGCAGTGCGGCAGGTTCAAGATCAAGATATATGGACACGAAGTAAATTGCTACTACATAAGTCTAGAGAAGACTAGTCCATCAGCGGACACCGCTATACGGTCGCTCTCTGCACTGCTGTCGTCACTACCATTACTCTCGGGAATATCCACGAGGAGGATGTCTGCTGTTTGGTTTGCTGTGTGCTCTGTGATACAGTCGATCAGCGGACACCGCTATACGGCCGCTCTCTGCACTGCTGTCGTCACTACCATTACTCTCGGGAAGATCCACGAGGAGGATATCTGCTGTTTGGTTTGCTGTGTGTGCTCTGTGATACGGCGCATGGTGCGGTGGTCCGGTTTGTGTGTCTGCGCCCTTCGCTGCTGTTGTGATTGAAAATGTGGTTCGGATTAAGGAGGATTCTCATCTGCCCTCGAGGGCAGATTCCCGGGCGCCGTTTTTGTGGAATATAGAGCTAATGTGAGAAACAACAACAACATCAACAACATAGTAGCGGTTGAGGGTGTTGACGCGAAAAAAATCGACCCGCGTGTGCCCGTTGGTACCTAATAAGAGGAACAAAACACATGGTGTATTAATATAGTGTAGTCTATCTAGTGTTGGCGCGACCCAGGGTTGGTTCGGGCTGCCACCCAGGGTCGACATCCTGAAGCGAAGACTCACACTCCCAGGCTTGTCCCAGGCTCCCAGGAGACTGGGTGTAGTAGACTATATACCCCTCCGCCTCATCCCGCCGACCTTCCTTCCTTTACCGCCGCGACTTCCCAGGCATCAAACCGTTGTTGCTGAGGCAGCTGCTCTCTGCAATGCTGCTGCTGCTGTGTACCAATGTCATGTAAGATAAAGTTACACCATTAATACACGACAGAAAGACCCGCTGTACACGTACCGAGGACCAACAGTAGCTGGTAGACATAGAGCGGGAAACGCTAATGCGTCCTTTCGATTCGCTTGGTACTGCAGCATGCAATACGCCTACGTCCCGCACGCTATGCCTGACAAAAAAAATACCCCTCGCCATTTCCAGCCATGCAGTAGAAACAACAGCAGCCCCCGTCTCGCGGAATACACACAGAAGCTACAACAGGGCGCGTAACCTATGGGCATATGCCAAGAAGGAGCACTGCTGTACACGGAGTACTGCTGCACTGTTGTGGATACCTCAACGTTTTGTAACACTGAACCGCTGTTATAGTATCGCACTTCACGAACTGCCGCCGCCAGGAACTGCCTGTTGGTAATAGCCAGCACGTACATAGTTGCTACCGCAGCAGAGCACCCATACGTTTGTAGGGCAAAAATTGTGTTGGACCGGAAGAATAAAAAAAAAACATCGCAGTTTTAGAGGGGTAGAGCCGGGTAGATGCCGTCTTCCCACCAATCACATGTCGACTATGTAGGACATTGTGTTGGACAGACACGGCTGATTGAGCGATGGGCACGCGCTCTCGGGAGAATCCCCGAAATCCTCTTGCACAGCAGCACCACACACAACCTGCAGAGAACATACGAGACAACCAGCACAGCAGAATACGGACTGTTTTTGGCCAAGGGCAGCCAAAGGCACACATTAAGAGGAGGCGTTGGGTGTGACTCTTACAGCCCGTTGCCTGCTGTCGGCAGCACAAGCGAGTGACGACGCAAGTCAATCTGCGGTCCGTCTGCATCACCTCAATCTACCGATCTTTGGAGCTTCCCACACAGACGCATCCGCACACAAAAGAGACAATGAGACGCACACACTACTTTAGGCTAAGGCCGGCCAAAGGCACACGTCATGGCTGGCGTCGGAAGCTATTTTTAGACTCCGAGGCCTGCTGCTAGCAGCGCAAGCGAGGGAACCAGCGAGTGAGTGCACACCAGTCAAATCTGTCTGCGGTCTGTTCGTCTGCAGGCCGCGATCTTTACTTCCACCACAGAAGCACCCCCGACGCAGAAACAAGTTAGAGGTAAACAACGCTGTAAGCCGAGGGCGACCAAATATACACATCGTAGGAGGCATCGGGGGCGATTTTTAGAGCCCGTCGCCCGCTGCGAGCAGCGAAAGCGAGGAAAGCAAGTGCACACCCACGTCCTGCACGGCGGCATCAGCCACAGCGGCAGCAGCAGCAAGCAGCAGCAGCAGCAGCAGCAGCAGCAGCTACATGTAGCTGATGATTATTAAGAGAGGTAAACAGCGCTCTCAGTCATCTCCTGACTGACTGGTGGTGTCGGGTTCGGTGTGAGCGTGTGCACTGGTGACCTCGGTGGTAGCGTAGGCTCGATCCATGCCTATATACGCTTGCTTTGATGTCTCTCTCCGCCCCTTCTTTTCGCGCTTTGCGCGAAGATATATTATATACATTTATATATTTTGTTGGACCCCTAGACTATGTATGGGAGTGGAGCCGATACCGCATATCTGGGCTAAGAACATATACGATACGATTGAACGTAAGGCTCGCGGCGAACCGAATTATAGGTATGTAGGCTGTGTTCACGTTTTCGGCAGCTTATTGCGCTGACGTAACCGAGGCTGGTGCACCTCTGTCGATGTGGGGACAGCGCAGCATTATTATTCGAAAAGTAGGCCCCAGTTCACGCTCCCTTCCTGCCCGAAGTTGAAGAACGACCAACCATTACAATGTGTTCTCTGTTGCGAAACATCAAGAGAATTCATGACGAACGTTGGGTGTAAGCCGACCTAGTGTTGGATTTGAACTGACCTGTGCAACGTAACTACCGTCATCGCTAATATATACCCGCGTCTACAACGAACGGGGTGTGCTGCAATGCAGGCGCACCCATGAATTCCTCCGCCCAAGAAGATGCCGCTGCGTTCATGTTGCTGGCGGGGATGATGTATCTGGGAATGGATGATGACAGCTCCCTCCTGGATGCTCTAGGCCTCGCTGACTACAACCAAGCAGCGGACTTCCTGGATGGAACCGCCCGGACGGTACGATCCANAGATGCCGCTGCGTTCATGTTGCTGGCGGGGATGATGTATCTGGGAATGGATGATGACAGCTCCCTCCTGGATGCTCTAGGCCTCGCTGACTACAACCAAGCAGCGGACTTCCTGGATGGAACCGCCCGGACGGGACGATCCGTGCCACACGCCGATCGCTGGTGGGAGAAAAGCGGGCGGCATCTCAGCAGCGCCCAGTTTAGGACAGCCTTTAGGTGCAAGTGCGTGGACATCGCTGTTGTAATTTGTCCTTAACCCTATTTTAGCGGCCCCGTCTAACGTCAGAGTAAGCACTTTGCCATTCACACATGTCGGCACTCTGTCCCCCCTACTCTAGAACAATTGAAATCCGAAAACACACGATGCTAAGCGATGATAGATTGTCGGGGTCCTAGTTTGTTGTGTTTAATTAGGGTTTCCCATTCCCTGGGAGCGTGCCTCGAGTTGTAAATTTGCGGGCAAGGCGTACCTGATTCGGGCGAAGCACAGTGGAATCCAAAACTTGCCCCCCCCCATGGATGCCACCCCTCCCCCCCCCCACGTTTGCCATCGGGGTTGGGTAATCGTCGCTTGACAGCGATGTTGTACAACAAGCTGATCACTTGGTGAGCTCGGCAACTAAGGGTACCGCTATTTTCCTGCTCTTTTTTTTTGCGGTAACCATGAATTGTGGTCGATGCATAATGTTGTGCGGGGTGGAGAATCCTCACTTCGCTCAAGGGGGATAAACGCACCTCGTTGTGTTAAATGGGTCAAGCACCCTTTTCTATAGGCAGTTGCACAGTGCTTACAACGTGTCTCTGGAATTGAAAGCACGCCAGAAAATATATTAAGTCATACGCAGCTGTCATGAGTAGGCAAGGAAGTAAGCACAAGATGCCAAACACCCTCGGTAGGATGCAGCACACCCTTGACGC